GAAAAATTATTTAAATCTTAAAATTCCTGGTGTATTACTTTAGAGTTTTAAACAATAAGTAGTCGCCCTGGTACAATTTAGGAATCATTATTCTTTATAATATTCGTATGAACATATATACATAAAAAAAAAAATGCAAAATACTCCACAATACCATTTTTACAAACACATGAAAAACAAATCACCATTATTACATTAGCATAAGCTACATAAGTACAATGAAAAATTATATCAATTGCATCTAATTTATAAAAATATTTATAGCACACGCAAAACGAAATGATTTATGTTCGGTCAGTTCTTTATCTATATTTTTGATTATTGGGTTAGCTTGTGTTTCGATAATAGCAACAAAATTGAAGGTAACTCTCCCTTACTGCATGTAGATATCATCGTTAATGGCGATCTCGAAAACACTATTGTCCCTCTCAACCGCGGTAGAAACTCACCGACGTGCCTTAACAATCTGTAAATCTGACAGTGACTGGCTGTTCACACTATCAAGCAAGAACTGATACGGGCCGTCGGAACATTCTCTCGGAGAATGGCAACCGGCGACAAACGGAACCGTGACGGACACCATGAATACTTCCATGCAAAACTCATTGAAGAATGCTTCGACGGCCAAACATAGAGAATCAATCTTCTATCGTCCAACGATCGTTTTATCGGCAGCAAAAGCCTCTCAACAGCTAACGAGACACGGTTGCCTCACTAACGAGTGGAAGCTGTGCTTTAAATCTTCAATTACTAGAACGTGTAACCAATCGAATCGATAACGAACATTAAAACAAGAGGAAAAATTGGAGTGTCAAAAAAAAAAATTATTAACAACATTCTTTGCAGTATGAAACTCATTTACGTAATATAGAATTTATTTAACATTCTGTTAGTATTCAAACAATATTTAAAAAACGTTTGTTTAATTTATTATAGTTTTTGGCTTGCAAATGATTATCCACTAATGTTAATTCTGTATTATCTTTATTCTAAATGTAAGCATTGCTTGATTTAGGCTGGTTAATTGGTTTCTTTATCTTTTTATGCGTAGAATAAAATGAGAAATATTTTTTTGAACGAACGAATCAAAATTCAACTGTTCGACTAAATGTTACAAGCAAATCGCGGTTCGAATCTTGAATTACATTTACTAGAACAAAGTATCAGATATTGCCACGTGGTTTATGAATGTAGTTTGTAAAAAACAAAGAATTTAAATAAATCTGTTATTTACTTTTACTATTTGGCGTGTAAATCAACGTCAGAGATCATTCGCATAAGTGTTCGTGATTCTCTTCTTTCTAAATTATTTCATAGTAATAACTGCGTTTATCGATTAAACAAACGTTTTATCATTTCGTTTTGTACACGTGATATTAATTGAAAATCTGAAGAATTGATCTGAAATAATCAAGTTATCATTTCATAATTATAATATATGAAAAAAAAACTTTTTTCATGTTTACAATTGAAGACCTCTTATGCGAGAGACTATAAGTCCCAAAAATGAAATAATTGAAAATCTATCAGTGGCAGATAAAATACTTCAGCACTTAGTCTTTCCCAAGAAAAGTCAGTTTAATTGAATTGGTGTTTGGAAAGAGGACCCATGTTACAAATTTTCGAAATTTGGGTTTTTTATTGGGAAAAGGTTTATGTCAAAAAATTGAAAAGTACCTATTAGTGCCTTTGAACACTACTAAATGTTGATAGCAGTCCGCGAAAAGATATAAATTCATGTTTTAGAAATGGAAGGACCTACAGTGGGTGTAGAAAGTATTCGTACACCGATCAATTTCCCAAAAAACTTTTTTGTGTGAAATTGTAGTTTGTTCGCTTCTTTTTTTATAATCAATGATATTTTACATATTCTCGGAAGTCTCTAAGATAGATATGGTCCAAACAACATTTACTAGTTAATGTAATTTGTGAAATTAACAAAAAAATGCGAAAAGTGGGTAAAAGTATAAAAGCAATAAGTATTTGTACGATTCTTATGACGAACCATCTACAGTAGAGTTTGTAAAGTACTCTTAAAAAAGGTTCTAATAGAGGAATGGCAAAAGATCCAACTTCGAATAACTAATAATTTAGTTAATTTAATGCTTAGAAGAGTTACAATAATTATAAAATCAAAAGGAAATCCCACAAAGGAAGTATTATATACTTATAAAGTAATATAAATTTCTTTTTTTTTTTTTGGTCAAGTTTTAAAAGTTAAACAGTTGTGCGAATACTTATTGCTTCAATATTTCTATCGATTTATTGTTTTTTTCTTGTTAATTTCTCAACTTAGATAAATAGCTACATTTTTTTGTACTGTATCTATTCTAGAGATTTCCGAGAATATGTAGAATGTCATTGTTTATAAAAAATAAGTTAATAAATTACAATTTTTCATAGTTCTTTTGGAAATTGATCGGTGTACGAAAACTTTCTACACCCACTGTATGTAAAAATAATACAAAAGTACAGAGTAAGGTAATACGTAAAATTAGAAGAAGAGCCTATGTTGCACTAGGTGCTCAGGACATCGCTACTCAATGACACTAATAGTTATTCGTTAATTCTGTAAAATTATAAATTTGTAACATAGCCCCTTCTTTTAGATACCCATTCAATTATAGTTTCCTAAAGAAAGCCTTCTACATAACTTGATATATAGAGTTTGCAAATAAACCACATCTCCGCTAAACATAAATCTACATATTCTATATTCTAATTCTTGAACAAATCCGTATACATTCATTTGATTCGTTATTCTAACAAAATTTCGCCCGTTCCTGACTGAAATGCAGAGTATCGCTGGAATCGGGCGTGTTCCCCGTACTCTATTAACGATTCATCGACTTTCTAGTGGGAGGATGCAATGTCCCAGCGCCGTGGCCCGATAGAATTTTAAGCGTTACATTAGTCGGACTAATGACCGACATGACTGTTCGTGGGTAGATACCGGTTCTTTGAGATCCGAGAGAGTTGAGGAGCATGCCCTCGAGAAGATCGTCGCAGACGAGCGAGCAATACGGAGAACGACTACCGTCGCCGCGAAGAGGGCGCCACGTACTTGGTCGCATTCGCAAGCTCGATCTCTGTGTTCTATTCGCCTCTCTGATTTTCTACGTGTGCTCACGGATTTTCGAGGAAACGTCTTCCTACACTTTATTCGTTCAACAGTCCTAAAAAACCTTTGACTCGTAAAACCAGCAACGGAATGAAAGAAATATGGACAAATGGAATAGGTGCAGCGACTTACAAACATCGCGATCTGCTAAAAAAAAAAGCAAATTTCTGTGATCTAAATAAGAAAAGAAACTAGCTTTCAGATAACAATTGAGTAGATCCTAATAAGTGTACAAATATTGAAGCATGGAAAATGAAATTCATAAAGAATTTATTTTTATTTTTACTCCTGCTGGCGTTGTCTGCAATGGATCTATGCAAATACAGATTATTTCGCGAATTAGTATTTGCAGACAATTTTATTGCAGTAAATACTGCTCTAAAAATTATAAACGCGATATAAAAGAAAAATTTCTATTCTGTTTACATGGAATCATGTAAAGTAGTCTATGTATTTTATTATACATTCCGATCTTTCATCAATACTACACATTAATCTAATTGAAAGCTAATAAATATAATTTAGAGATCGGTCTAAAAAAACCTCAGAAGTGAAATTCGATAGAAATGTTTCTCGGGATGTTATCCACACTTTTTCGTATTAAAAGTTTCCGTCTGTGTCTTCTTTAACTTGCCAGACCTCCTATTTTGTAAAACGCTAATATTGGCAGATTAACACATGGGACAGGATATGCGACGGAACAAGGTTTGGTCCATCACGTATATTTATAGGGCCGGGATCAAACGGGTGTTTGATGGAAGCTGAAACTCTTCGAAGTGTTACAGAGCGAGGGCAAATAGAGAAATAGAAACCTGGAGGGCGCGTGCCGAAAGTGAAACAGGAAACGAGATCCAGCGGTGATCGTAAGTCAAGAAAGCACTCTCGCTCTCTTAAAAGCCTAATGCCACGGGAAAAGAAAACTACGAGGGGGGCTAATTCGTAGCTAGGCTAGGATCTCGAGGCGAATCGTGATCCGGACGGGCCTCTGTCGTGGTTATGCGCGCCATGAGCCGTATGGAAATTTTCAGCGACAGTAATGAGGCTTAAGGGGCGGTTGTGTAATCAGTGTGCTCCAACTCGATGGAAACAATGTTCCACGGGGCCGGTGTTCGCGCTCTGAAAATTAAATTCCACGCGAGTTTCGCAATTTCAGCGGGTCCGTGGTCACGGAACCATTTATCACGCCGCCCGTTTGCTTTTGTTAATGAGTGTCAAACTGTCTTTTCCGACGCTGGCAATGCGTGAAACGTCTTGATTAAATGAAAACAGGGGACCACCGTATCGCGGTTTTGTCACTTAATTCGATCGTCGTCGCGTTTAAAGTTAAGCAAAGATTAGAGAAAAATATTACAAATTCTATTTTAGGTAATTGGCGTTGTACAATTGAAGTAAAATAATATTTTAAACAGAAAGCGGAATTTCTGCAAATAAACTATTTTTAAGTCACGAGAATATAACGTTTAAAATTGTGGAACAACCTTAAAAACTGAAACTTATCTATGAAGCTAAATTCAAATTATGTTCGAACGACAGTAGGTACATTTCTCGTCAATATCAATGAAATACATTAATTACCTACGAAATTATTGATAATGAAATCTTGAAACTAAACTAAATTTTGAAATCTTGAAACTAAACTAAATTTTTATTTTTAGGTTTTTTATGAATTTTAATTTTTGATTATTGATATTTTCATAGTTTTGTATCTATATTATTTATTATTATAATATGATTGGGGATCATATCAATTTTCTTTTGAAATATGATTCTTTTTAACAAGGATTTATACTTCTCTTGAAAAGGATTAAACAATCGACCAAAATATCGAGATAAATGAAATGTTTCACGTACAACTACAGTTTGACCACAACATTCAGGTGATCAAATTACTAGAATATACGAAGCAAACAATACAACACTTCTATCATTTAACGTGAAATAAAAATTCCTTAATTTAAGTCACTTGTGACACAGTTCTCAATTGCTATTATTTGTTTACAAAATAGAACAAAATAAAATTTTCTTCGAGAGTAAGTAAAACCCAGTCTACTCTTCAAACTCGTAGGCACTAAAACGGTTAATGGAGGATCAAAAACAATCGATCAATTTCGCAACTTTCGATTCGTTTCACTCACAGGCGATGTCAAGGGAATCGTAAATATTTAAAACGCGGTATTAAACGGAGAGTGCATTGAACGATAACTGAGATATTTAACTAAGAAATTACGTATCTTGTCCAGGCTGGATAATTATACGAGTTCTTTTTAATCGTGTTCAATCGACTTTGAAAACTTGCCACGACCAAATTAACGCCTAATGAATAAAGTTCTCATTGATATATAATTCCCTCGCGAAAATTACTCCAAAAGAATAAAAAAACAAAAAGAAATCCAAACTCAGCTGAAATTTACGGCTGCCGTCGCTCTTGGATAAGATAAACGATGTTTATCGAACTATACAAATTATTCTCTATCCATAATATCTGTGATCGTAGATCGTCGAACAATGTTTTCTACACGCGATTCCGTTTGGAAAAATCTGCATATTTGGATTAGTGCCACTATAAAAAAAATGAACAAAATATAAAAATTAAATGACACGTAGTCAAAATCTAACAATCGACAAATATGACGCTTTGAAATTCGATGCAAAATTAGTTTCTTTCGAATAATGTCTATATTCCTTCAGAATCCAAATTAGGTTTTTGGAGCAAAATCATACCACGAGTCTACTATTAGCGCTTAACTAAATGTTTTATACGGGTGGAAAGTGGATTTATATAACAACCACTGTCAAATGGGTTTTTTTTAGAGAGATGAATTATTTAAAAAAATAAATACCATGTGTTACGCGATGTATTCATTTTGAAAACTTACAAAACATACAAAACAATTTCGTGTTTCAGAAATTATCCGATCCTTTTGTAACTTATTATGTAATTTGCTTCTTTCTACATATAGTTAATTTTTTGTCTACAAATTAATTTCTTCCCTTCCCACTTTTTCTTGTGTTACTACGTTCACACAATTGTGCTTCTGTTTTAAAATTTAAGGTTTATATTTGTACACATATAAGTAAAGAGTGTTATGTAGTCTGATCGAAACATGTTAATAAAGACGACAAAAGTATTCTAGCTTAATTTATCAAAAAAAGAGGAAACCACACGTATCACATATCAAACGAAATTCTAAGAGCAAACATATTAATTACAATGCATTAACAATTCCCGACAAACAGAAGTTTTAGTTTAGACAGAAGCGAATGAAGTTGATTTAAAAATGTCTTAAGTTTCAATTGGCACCATTTACAATTTGGATCAAGGAAAATCGTAACATTTCACGTAAATATAACTCCCAATTCGTATCCAAATACGTGAAATAATACACTTTTTCACAAATATTATATATTCGACAGCACTTGTATTCGCAGACAAGATTTCTCGATAACGAAGTTGAAGAACCATCAAAATCTCGATAAAGTTATGTAACTTGTAAAACTTCATCGAAGCTAAAGAACTTTTCTTCAAGATCAAACGTCGGCATTGCCATTGCAATCTCACACAGTCGATAGAAGACATAATACCGAATGCACTTTTGTAATTTTGATAAAGTACCGTAAATATATATTTTCTACTTGCGTTCTGAATCGAAAAATATAAAGTTAGTTTCGCTAATGAAAAAGCTCGCGTACCACTGATTTATACAATCTTCGACTCTGCCACTAGATTCGAGAATCCTAAAATATTCACTATCCAAAACTTAAAGAAAAATGTACCGTCCCCTGTTCTACGTCGCACACCCGATGATTCCCCGCGAACTAAACTCGTCGAATCACTGGTAGAAAAATTTCCTATTCTCCGTTGACTCAGAAATAAAACTCTCAACGTAACGAAAACTGCACGTTCCAGCGACTGGGAAAAGGGACGTCGGAGGTATATTCGCGGCGCGACAATTCCACGGGGAAAAGACACGATCTCGGTGGTGGCACTTGTCTCGTATCGGCACACTCTCAAGCAGGCCTCGATCCTCCGACGGGAGAGAACACGAGCTAAGGGAGATCCACTCGGAAACTCGCGTCTCGCGAGCAGGCGGCGTAATACCGCGTAGTCGGCGAGCGCACCGAGACACGTCGGCCAGCGCCGCGGAGGGAACGAGGGTCCTCGTAGTTCGTGAGTTCCCGGCACCGCTCGGCATTCCCCGCCACCCCCGTTCGACGCTCGAGACTGCCGACGCGAGACGAACAGCCGCGACAGCGCGCTCGGCCGACAGACGCGTCCGCGACACCGACTGGAAAGGAGGTTCTGTTCATTCTGCGTTCATGGGACTCGTCTCGACGTAGCTCCCGCACGATCTATCCGCTTACGCTCGTCTACGGAACAACGCGCGCCGACACGCTCCGTCGGGACGGGTGCAACGAGCGTTTTTCTGATCATTTTCAGATCATTCTAAAACATCCACCGATTAATTCCGTGCTCCGTTTTCACGCGAAGAGCGTCGCTCCGGTTGGCTACGCGACCCGTGCGAATCGCAAGTGCGTGAGAAAGTAATACCGGGGGTGTGCTTCAGGCGAGAAGGATACGTGCTACGTTTCTTGTGCTCTACGTGGGATCCCTGTGCGAAGGATTTTTTCCTCCTGGATTTTTCATGTTCTTCGTGCTCTCGGGTGTTCACCTGGATACCTGATCTGGTGCGCACACACGACGTGCTTTTTTTTTGTTTAAATATTTTTTGAAGATCGTTAGTGAAAAACGTTGGAGTGAGTTTATCGTTTCTGGGTTTCGCGTCGATCCGCCGTGACGATCTTTCGTGAGATGATCGGCGAGTTTACGGTCGGTTGGTGGTTCGCGTGATACCGTCGGATAACTTTCTTGACCCTGAATCGGAGTGCCGGAGCGTCGATCACGGAACCTACGGAGCATCATATCTTCGATGCGTCGCGAGTCTACCGGACCGTCTAGGAAGCTTCTTTCGTCGACGGCTCGTCGTTTGGATTGGATTACGGCAACTTTGGACCAATGAGAGGGCTGACAAGGCTCGCTCCAGGTGAGAGAAACACGGGGTGGACCCATGGAACGCGTACCTCGCTGGACACCGTTGCAACCAGCCGAACACCGGAACGACTCGATTGGTTCTAATCGCGCGCCGATCGCGAGAAATTCCATCAGTGAATTCCGCGATTCGTGAACACACTGTGCACGACCCTTCGCTCGAAGACTCGGCCAGTTTGGATATAACGCTCGGCGTTCCTGGAAATGCTTCGAGGATAAACACCCTTTGGCGAGGAAGGAAAGGATACAACACGGTGCTCGACTCGCGAGAAATAGAAAATCAACGCGAGTAGGAGAACCGTTATAATCGAGGAAAGTGAAGTGTGGATGTGGTGTCCGTGCAACCGTGGTGGAACGTGGTTGTGGACGACGACAACAAAAGTGCGATTGTTGTTGTTCTTTTTGTTATTGTTGTCGTCGTTGTTGTTTGTTATTGAGTCTCGGTGAGCGTGGTGACGGTGGTTTTGGTCCGTTGTCCACGTTATTACGATGGTTTCCTCGTCCTTTGTGACTTTGGTGTTCCTCGTCTGCCTGCAAACGGTTCTACTCTCCACTGTGAGCAACTGCGCGAAGACGATCAGCATGTACTGGAACACCACCAACTCCATGTAAGTGTCGCGAGTTTTATTGCTTCCTTTTTTCCACTCTCGATCGACGGTTTTCCTGGCAGCGGGTGGGAAAACCGACGCCACGTGGCCGGCGCGCCGCGACCTGTGATTTTCGTCTACCGTTCGGCGACGTCGAGCCCGACGCTGGATCGTTAGCACGTGTGTCAAACCAGAAGATTAGGCGGAAGTTCCATTCGAACAAAAATTTCGTTACTTGTTCGATAAAAATCAGTATTAGGTTGTCCCAAAAGTTTCTTTTGCTTTATTAATAAGTAATACATGCACAATATTTTATGTTTTATGTTACGTTACTGAATTCTGCACGGTTCATTTTGCTCCATTACTGTTACTGTTACAACATCAACATCTATGAAATTAAATTGTCTATTTATATAAACACGACTACATAAAATAATTGAGTGCAACTCGCGAAAGAAACTTTCGGGACAACCTAATAGAATGAAACGTTGGATCGAAAGATTGATTGTTTAAGATTCTGTGAATAAGATCTAGTGTCCAGTGTTAAATGTAACGCTTTTGGATCCAGCGTTACATTTAGCTTGTTTTTGTGCAAAATCAGTGATCATTGCGCCGAAAGTGGATTTTTCGTGAATAAAATTCGTTCAACTACAAATATAACTTCATTTGGATAGGTAAAAATTGATTTTATTTTGTTTACTTCTCGACACTGGTAAAAAATTATATCAAAAGTGCAGTAAATGTGTTATTTGTTCATAAAGAGAAGCAATTATTACTTTTGTTAGAAATCTGTATCGATAATAATAGAATCTCTTAGTATTCTCAAATCTAATACGAATCGCCGCAAGTGTTAGTTCTTGCTCCCAGTGGCTAAATTACCTACAACTTCTTTCGGACACAACCGTTTATCGGCTGTATGTAGCAAAGAAAAGAAATTGTCAATCACGTTTGACATCGCTCTTCAAAAAGTAAACCTATTGCTTTAGAAACAGTTGTTTTTTCGAAATTAATTCATCTATATAAAGCTTATCTGTTTAATCAAATTCTAGTGAAACAATGTGAATTGGTATTTTTCAAGTTAAACAACTGAGAGCTTACACAAACAACTGTTCGGTTGGGTAGACGTAGCAGATAAATGGCTAGCCAATGTTTCTATTAGACATGTATTACCAAAATAAAGGTTTGCCCATGTGCCAAAGCGTTTTGAAGTCGTCGCCCGGGGAATCGATTTCTCACGGCGTCGTCGCTTTTGAGTAACGGTCCGCCTCCGTCCATATTCGGCGGAGCTTTTATCGCGTCGCCCCGCGGTATCGCGTCTGCCAAAATTACAGGGTGCATCGCGACGTCGCACTCGCTATAATACTCTCGCGAATGCCGAGATCGTTTCGTCGCCGCCGTCCAAATCGTCGACGATAAAAGGGAACAAACGGCTACTTCCAGCGGTCGGTGGTACGGGAAATTGCTCGCAAGATACGAACGATCAATTTCCTGTCGGATATGTTCAAGTTCGTCTAACTGGTTGCAACGTTCTTCGCGTGTATCAGTCGCCTTGTCTTCCTCCGTTAATGAGACCAATGTCGTTAGAATTCCAACTGGTATATACTTGTTTATTAAATGACGAAAAAGTGGGAAAAGTGTTGGTGAATGCCAAGAAAGTAAATACCTACGATCGCAAAGAGCAAATATGAAAACAAGAAGTTATTACATAGTTCGCGTTCAGAAGTATGACTATGGAGGGATTCTTCATGGGCATTATTCGTTTTTGTCCTTAAGTCAGTATAAGAGATAGTGTACGAAGAGTATAGGGATAGTGTACTCTCTTTGGGAAACTAGAAATACTTCAAAACGATTTGATAATATAGACGCAAATTAAAATACACGATAAGAAGATTGGTTGGTAATAGAACGAATAAATTCTTATATTTCCGAATATAAACAAAATCTTATTTGCTAATCTAGAAAAGTATAGAATAAATTGGTAAATTGTAAAAAGTAAAATATAATAAACTCATAAAAAATGTTGCAAGAATAATGTTGACGAAGGACAAGATATCAATCAAAATAATTTGGGAAGAATAGAACATCGAGTAGCGATAAAACTTCTTGTTAGGAATATGTAATGTTATTTGGACACTAGAGTAACCATACAAACATACTTTATAAGGCTACTGACGTTTCGTCGTATCAGATGTTTACTTCTCTTCGGAACATTATTAAGATCATAATACTCGAAACTAGGAACAATGTAGGAAAGTTTACATTCTGTGAATCGAGGATGAATAATTTCATTAAAAAAAAAAAAAAAAAAAAACCCTAAGCATTATTTAAACATCTAACGGTAGTTAGTATCTCATTTTAGTGTATTATTACTTGTATAATCCAAATAATTAAAATAATGTAATTATAGAACTGTGAAAGTGTGTGAAGTTTTCGTGCAAACAAGTGTTAAATGTTCGTGAACGTTGGCTTAAAAAATTTCACGCGACGCGAGTTTCGTCAGCAACGCCATCGTTTCGCGCGATACGTGTAAATCTGCACGCGTAACAAGGCTCGTTACTTTATCACGGAAAAAAATCTATAAGTGATCTCGTTGCTTCCTGCCCAGACAGCGAACGAAATCGCTGGCGCATGGCAAACCGAAGCGCGGCAGACTCGATTCACCACACCGCCAATTAAATCCGCATTATGTGGTTAATCTAATTTGTCACGGCATTTTTCTGCTCTTTCGAGTCACTGGATTCACGTACGAATTGGTAGCAAAAAGTTACACTCGTCACGACACCTGAAGTTCGAGTATAAAACCGAGTCGGTTGAACTTCGCGTTGAAATCGCCGAGATTCGGACGTGAATGCCAATCAAATGTAATTTATGATCGTGTATGGTTTCTCTTGATACATTATGCATGCTCCCCTTTACTTCAGTTCTTGAGATTATTATAAACGTATGATAGACTTCCATACATTTTTGGTTACATACTTTTAATATATTGTATTCGACACGAAAATGTCGTGTATGTTTACTTTTACAATTTATATTAATATTTAGACAGTTTTTCCCTTATACTTGTTAACATTGTTTTGACAGTTGTACATATAATTTGCAGACGTTTATTTTACCTGAAGAGACATTAGTGAGTTTAGATACAAATTTATACGTTATATTTGATATTTGACGTCGTGTATTCGGATTTTTTTTGTGTATGAAATGCTAAACGAGCCACTGAAATGAATAAGTTTATTTTCGTACAGTTGAAGAATGGTTTTTACGGCTAATTGTAAGTAAAATACATTAATATAAACTTTAATATGCTCGCCTTGTGTGTACACCTTGTAAAAGTTATTTGATAACATCGAACAACTAGAGACACTCCTACCTTGAAATAAGGCCGAATGTATTAGATTAGACGTTGAAATCACCGTGAATCGTGTAACAGTTCTCTCTGAGCTCGAGCTACGAATATCTCGCAACATCACTTCTTTCTTTTGCTTATATGTGGCTCGTTGGTCGAGCAATTTCTTTTGCTCGTTACGTAGCAATTTGCGTAGTACGCGATACTTTTTACCATCGCCCGATGGACGTGTCAATCTATGTTACAACGTCGCGACTCGCATCAACGTTTTAATCGCCCTTATACCCTTTTTCGAGCGTGAAAAACCTGCTTGGCGTATAATTTTCTCCGTCGTTTGAAACTTGTCAATCATTTTCTCAATAATCGCTCACGGTATCCTCTGACTAATTCGATTCGACAAGGATCGCTAGTAAAACGTGAAATTCTTCCGAAATACCAGGCGAATCTACAAAAATTGCGAGAGTGTCAAATATAAATACTTCAAAACGAGCACATCGAACTCATTTTGACATGAGAACAAATTTATACGGTCTTGAAAGTTATAATCTGTTAATATATGTTACTGTATTATCGAATTAAACTAATATGCACAACTCGCTATAAATGTGAAGTTTTTTATTCACTTTAAGACATTTTTTTTCTATTAAAAGTTTTGAAATAACCGTCTAATACTTTCATTATAAACGTTCTGAAATAACTCATTAAATTAAGGCACACATATAAAGTGAAATTTAAAAACGCGAAGAGATCTTAAATATTGGTAAAAAGTTCCACAATTTGTTGCCGTACATGATAGACTGTCCGAAACGATGGCACGTTATATTCAGGTTCCCCTGTCCGAATGTATGCGTGCGTGGATCGCGCACAACGAAATCCGGCACCCTATTCTCCTCTCGTATAAGGTCCCGACGCCGACGTCCGGCTGACTTTGACGATCAGTTTGAAGTCGCGCATGCATTACTTATCAGCAGGACGAGGTGGCCAGGTTCGGCGTGTGCGTGCCACGTATGTGTGAGAATCCATTTCGCGAAGGAGAAGGACGTTGTCAGACTGTCTTCTTCGTGGGACGTACGGAGAGCAGTAAAAAACACGTCCCGTGCAGAAAAAAGTCGAAAAGGAAGTAACGCGTATAGCGAACAAAAAAAGGCGAAACTGAAAGAAAAGACCGAGTACGAGAACCCATGCTCTCGGAGACTGTAAATCTTGCCTGCTTATTGGGAAATCGCAATTCGCTTTATGAAAGGGGCATAAGAAAAATGGAAAAAATTGAGTGAACAGGACAGAGAGAGAAAGACGAGGAAAGTCATGAGCAAAGCATGAAAACCAGTGGCTCTTTGATTATCGTAAATCTGTTTCCATGGAGTGCATACATACATACGCGGAAGGCGTATTGTTCTCCCGAGCTAAAAAGCGGTTACTGACGTTTACTGCCTCGTTGTGTTTTCAACGGGGAGAGTCTTTTTACACGGCGAAATGTATTAAAAACGATTGCTTTGGTTACTTGGACGTGTCGTACAGACTGAAGTGATGTAACAGTCATGGAAAATATTGTATATCTTTGAAAGAAAAGAAAGTCGTTGGTCTTGACTCGTTTTGTTAATTTCTATTTCTATAAAAAACGCAAAAGCAAAAGATAGTCCGAAATATGTTTATTGCGAAGTAAGATGTTGAA